ATGTCTATCACATAAAGCCTATTTGGGATCTTCTTTCTTGGAAAACTATAAAAGAAGTTGGAGCTGCACACTGAGTCAGACCTGTGACTTTAAGTTTAAACTTAAGTTCTATGTTAGAAAATTCCTTTTCTCCTTCAATGTAAATCTATAATGAACAAAAGCTGTAGGTAACTCACTAGTACAATTTAAAGTTTTATTTGAGTTTCTTGTGGTGCCTGTGGCTCAAAAGAGCAGGGCACCAGCCCCATGTGCAAGAGGTAGCAGGTTCAAACCCAGCCCCGGCCAAAAACTGCAAAAAAAAAAGTTTTATTTGAGTTTCTTAATAGTTCAACCTCATGATCATCTAATGATGAACCTGCAAAGGAGTGAAGGGAGTCAAAGGGGTCTCTCAGAGGGACAATGAACATGAAGGTGCTGTGTCAGTCCATAGGAACTGGGCAACCGGTTGGAAATTACAAGGAAGCCCTTTAAACTCATACAGAGCACTTCCTAACAATGACAGCTGTTCAGACTAAGATGTGGCTTCTGCATAAAAGGGACCACTTCCTAGCACATACAGGGGCTGGCTGACAATCTGGGAAGGGGTGGGTTTGGCCTGATGTCTTCTCAAGGCAGCTCTCACTCGAGATCTGCTTCCTTGATAGAAAGAAAAGATTACAGATTATGAGAATGTAATTCCCATGGACAGAAGCTCTAAGAAGGAAAGATAGGAGGAAGAGCATGGCAGGGACCCAAGGGAAGCCACCCTGATCTCAGTTTGCTCAGCTAGACAATGGCAGGTGAGCTATGACAACCCCAAATAAGGGACCAAGGCAAAGACCTCAAGCAGTGGAGGTTTATTAAGCCTAAGGTTGAGGATGTCTCACAGAAGCCTTTGTGACCTGTGCTCTCTGAAAAGGGATTTGGGAACTCAGCATTTAAGGGAAGAGGGTGGTGGGCAGTGAGGCAAACGGTTACACTGTTATGAGGCTCTAATTAGTGCTCAGTAAATCTATATAAGGAAAGGTAAATGCTCTTTTATGTTCACATGGATGGAACTGAAACATATTCTTCTTAGTAAAGTATCTCAAGAATGGAAGAAAAAGTATCTAATTACTCCATACTTTTATGAAACCAATTTATATTTACTTATACTTTCTTATGAACGATCACAACTATAGCCCAGGATGAAGGAGAGAAATGGACGGGGAAGGGAAAGGAGGGGGGAGGTTCGACAGAGGGAGGGTAAACAGTGGGACCACACCTATGCAGCATATTGCAAGGATACAAGTCAAATCTATCAAGTATAAAACATAAATGTATTAACACAATAATCAAGTAAATGAGGCGAAAGCTGTATTAGTTTGATGTCAGCACTCCAAAATGTATAAAAAATCAACACATTGTACCCCCAAAATGCATAAATGTATTCATGATCTATGTATACATGACTTATAAAAGGAAAAAATAATATTTGCAAAAAATTTTACAAATAGCCACAAGTCATAACTTCAATTAAAATGCAATTTACCACCAAAAAACCAAAAAAAAGACAAGGTAAATGTTTGAAGACAAAAAGGAGGGTAAAGAAAAAATCAGATGTGCAGATGTCTCTGGGAGAGTGATGACTGATTTCATATTGTCTCTGCTCTGCACCTGGGAAGGTAAACTTGTAATCAACACTGAAAGTGTGATATGGAACAGACTTCAGTTTTAGAAGACTTAGTCCGCACACCTAAAGTTTTGACAATATGCATGTCCCTGTTTATGGGAGGCCAGCAAGAGTTGCCTTATGTTGGGGTGGGGTGCAGAACTTCCTGGATGCCTGAGGCCTTTTACCTTTCCTGAGCATCTGTCTAATGCATAAGGTTAGTAGCAGCTGTGTTATCTGCATGACTCAACCTCCAGGCTTGACCTTTTCTATTGCATAAGGAGTCTGGAGGTATTGAGATTCTTATTTCCCTTTACAGTAAATGGTAAGATACCTTTAACTTTTAAGAACTAATAAACAAAAAGAATTTCCCTGTGTCCATTCCCCTGAACAAAACCTTATAGAAAAGGTAAAAAGCACAGAAGGGCACTTCTATTCTGCCCAGTAGGTTTGATTTAATGGCCCAGAGGCTGAACCCATGGTTGAGGGAAGATGCCATATGGACCAGCTAAGATCCAACTGGCCCTGCCACCTCAGGTCTAGGGGAATACATGGAGCTCTCCCTTCACACTATCCTCACTTTCCCCAGGGGACCCAGGAAAACAGCATAGGAAGAGCCACAGGAGAGGTAGGGTACCTAGAAAACACTAATAAATTCAAAAGAACTCACTTAGAAGTGTCTCAAATACAGCATGCCACTGTTGGCATGGACACTATTCAGACTATATACATGAGCATCGAAAAACATGAATTACACATTTGCAAATACGTCATGCCTTGTAGAGTGACACTTCAGTCAACAACAGACCACATACACAGCAGTGGTCATGTATGATTATGATGGAATAAAAAGTTATTATCACCTAGTGATGTTGTAGCCATCATAATTTGTAGCACAATGCATTATTCATGTGTTTGTGGTGTTGCTGATGTGAACAAACCGACTGCACAGCCAGTCATATAAAAGCGTACAGTAATGTCCTAGGCCTCCACATTCACTCACTGACTCACTCAGAGCAACCTCCAGGCCTGCGATCCCCATTCATGGTAAGTGCCCTATATAAGGGCATCATTTTAAAATCTTTAAGCCATATTTTACTGTACCTTTTCTATATTTAGAGACACAAATACCACTATATTGCAACTGCCTACAGGATTCAGTACAGTAATGTGCTGTAACAAGGTATAGTGTGGGAGCAACAGGCTATACCACATCACCCAAGCGTGTAGTTGGCTATGTTTGTGTAAGTACGTTCTGAGATGTTCACGTAATGAAGAAATTGCCCAATGATGCATTTGTAAGAAGTACAGTCAAGTGACACATGACTAAGTTCCTTACCATATTCATGTTTCAGATTTTGAGACATCTACAGTGCCCTTATGTGATCTCTGATTACAGTGGTATTCCTAAAATGAGTCCTATGGGAAAGCAGTGCCTGCAGAAAGACCAACTGTCCAAGATGAAAAAAGGAATTAATTCTGATATCCTGTTACTGCCATGAGCTGAGCCAGCAACGCTTTGCTCTTAGGATATGATCTAAGGACTTTCAGCTCTCTCAAGAGCTTCATATTTTACTCAGGCCCTGTCATCAAAGCATCATCTCTTCACTAGAGAACAGAAACAAAATTTATCTTGACATTAAATCTGATAATAAGTATAGGCATAACAATAAGTGGCACCCAGACATTAGTTTAAACACATGTGGGGGCATTCTATGGTTTATTAGTGAAGCACAAATTGCATATATAGTAGGAAACACATAATTATAAATCAATTCTGACATGTATTTTAAAAATAGAAAACATTTCTGGATACAGTAAGTGTCACATTTAATATGAAGTCTTCAAACTAGGAGTTATTTTCTCTGGCACATACAGCTCTTGTTCCCCTGGGTGCTCAGGAGCCCCTGTCTCGTATCCTTTGAAGCAAGAGGTGAGAAGAAATTCCCTTAGCACACCTGGAATTATTCTGCCCAGATCTGTCAGCTCTCCTCAGGACAAGCTACCGTCATGGGCAAATGGCTCAACTTGCCTCAAGGTTAAGGTTTTTTCCCTTTTTGAAAGAAATCAAAATCTTAAATCCTTTTGTAGAAAGGTGTATACCATATGAGATTTTTACCTTTCATGCTTTCTCTAAAAGAGAAACATGTCATTGGGAGTTTTATAACTAGAAATTGTGACAAATAGCTCCTATATAACAAAATCTTTAGATATGCCCATACATATCTAAAAACATAGATTACACATTTGCTAATAGGTCTTCATTATATTCATGTTTCTGATTTTGAGATAGCTACTGTGTAATGATGTGACCCATAATTGCAGTAGGATTCCCGAAACAAATCCTATGTCAAAAACAGGTCTGAGCCACAGCACGTTCAGAAAACCAAGAAAGCAAAGAAAACACTCTTAGGAACCACTTACAAGATAAAGGGAAATGTAATGTACTACTTTAAAGAGTAACTAGGTAGACCAAAATTTGTAACCGTAAAGGTACAAATATTCCACACATCATCTCTGTTAAACCCCAGGACAGAGACTGAACAAGCTTAGAGGAAGGAAATTGAAAAAATGACAAATCTCTTTCTCTCTCTTTCTCTTTTCATTCCAACTTGATTCAACTTCTATAATCCCTTCAAAATGGTTCTCTACATGGAAACCTCTAAGAGTCTCCTGGCCCTTTGGCAAGGTCTTGAAAAACCAGCATCTGAGATGTCATGGCTTCAGATCCAATAACAACCACTTTGAAGCTGAAGCTGAGATGGGGCCGGTCATCACTGGCTCAGCAGGATGGGCGGCCTCCAGGTATCCTTCAGAACAGTGCCTAACTTGCTCTGAAGGTTATTAATTCATACTTTAAAATACAGTCTCCATCATCTCAGCTAATGGGGACCTTCCTGGGTATAGACTTGAAGAAGCTTAGCCATGCTTTCCTATTTTAACATCATTCAGTTAACTTTTAGGAATCCAGTCAAATGCTCCACCAATGTGAAGATAACCACAGGTGACTAAATGATTCATTCAGCTAATATTTAATATACAATCTATTTCACGATGGCACCATGTAGCAACACCTTTCCAGGATCTTTCTCTGACTTCTTACCTAGAATCCACAAGCAGAGGGCTCCTGGTATCAGTCTCTAGATAAGTCATTTCCCATGTAGAAGAGTTTTAAAATCTTTTTCTAGCATATTAACTCCCCATAACAAATAGTGCCAAATAGACTATTTTTCTTCAGTAGATGAGTTTTTAAAATAACAATGGTAGACCAAGAGAGGTGATCCAAATTCTTAATTAATCACACAAAGAAAATGACACACAGTTACCCAGCCTGCTGATTTATCTCAGCCCGACGCCCCACCCCACTTACGGGTGGCCTGTCGGCTCTGCTCGGGCGGAGCGCTGTCCGCGGACTGGGTGCTGGAGACCGAGGAGACGCTGGAGCTCCGGACAAAGCCAAAGGCCGCCAGCTTGGCTGCTGGGAGACGTGAGTATCCAGGAGGTCGAAGCCCAGATTTTGGTAGACTAGATTTTACAGCATTTGAACTGGAGGCTTTCTTTAAATCTGTTAACATGAACCCAAACCAAAAAACAAAGATTATTCTCAATTCACAGCAAGGTAAGAGACGGACAGACACATAACCCTAATTTAAGACCCCAAGGAAAGGGATAAAGAGCTTAGGACAGTGAAGCAAGAGAGCATTCATTGTTGCAAGTTACTCAAGGTTACATTGTTACAGTTACTTGAGATCTGTGAAATTGAGACACACCTTAAATTTTGAGGCACGATGGGCAAAGAACCTTTGTGGCAAATATTCACTCGTAATTTTAACTAGTATGTAGTAGTCTTATAAAAATGTGTACAGAAATCATCTCACTGACCTCTGTTGGTAGCAAACTGAGGGGCTAGCCAGATTGAAGTCTAAGCTCTACTAATTATGAGCTGTGTACCTCCCAGCCCTGGCCTAACACTCAGAGTCACAATTTCCTTTTGTATAAAGAATGGGGTGAGAAAATTGGCCTTGCAAGTTTATTGTAAGTACATGGATCATTACAGAAGTTTTGAGATACACAAAAATCAAGAAACACAAAATCTGTGTGGATGGAAGCAAACAAAGCCCCCCCGCAACACCGATAAACTGAGTAAGCGGAAACTTTTATGGGTGAATCAAAAGGAATGCTGTCAATTATATGACTTGGAAGTGAAATAATGGACCACAGCACAGTCAGTCTCAAAACTTTCATAGTGACCCATTTATTACTGCTTGGTCCACAACAATTTGCGGGATGCTCAAACTGATGTTAGATTTCTTTTCTCCTTTTTCCATTATCTTTTTTTTATGTCAATCCACACTTCAAAATTAGTTCCCAGATATGTGCAAAGTCAGCTCTTGCTTTGAAATAATAAAGTGTCAAGTTATAAATCCAGTATCTCAACATCACTATGTCTAAGTCTGAACCAGACTCTATCAATAGCAACTGTGATAATTATCACAGCACTATGAGAAAGCTCTCAGTACCAGAGGAAATCAAAATATTATCAACACACAAATGCTCTTTGATATGAAATTTAAAATATTCCATATAACTGTCCCCATCAAGCCATTTAACAACTTGTACTTGTTGCTATATTTACCTTGAATGTGGGTACACAGATCTCTCAGCAGTGTTCTTACACTTTAGTCAACTCTTAACTAATGAAATATTAACTAGGTTTCGGATTAAACAGAATTTAAATCATGCCACATTTATTTAAAAAATCAATGTCTATAAATCAGTGAAGAAACTACATACTTGAAAGCATCTATATGTGGAAATAAAGAGCCAATAGATGCTATCCAGGGTCTATGGTCTCCCACAAAAAGTGTCCTTCCTCTTCTAGCTACTACTCTCCCTGAAAGTAAAGCTCTGGCCAGTTGTGTGTGTCCAGGGGAGAACAGAATCTGCAGAGCTATAGTTCCTGACTTCTGGGTCAGGACTAGCATTGGAGGAATCCAGTGAGTGCAGAAAGAGAATGGAATGAGGAGCTAAAGCTGCAAATACTCCCAACTCAGGCCTGCCCTGCATGGGGAAAAACATCCTCAACTATGAAAAAAAAATAACGCACTGCCTATCAGGTACTGATGGTCCATTTGTATCAGAAGTGAATGTCATATTTAACACCTTCGTATGTTTTTCTCATATCATTTTATATATTGTAGATGATATCCCCACAACAGTGAAAATATCCCTTTGTATCAGATTATCATATTTACAACAAACTTCCACCAAACTGATTTCAGATGATGTCTATAGAAGACTAAGAGAATTGCTAAAAATCAGATGTAATTTCAACAGTAAGTATGCTAAGCCTATTACATTTTGAGGCTATTCTCAATTATCAGTGACCTCCTTTCCCATCTAGTTAATCAATAATTGACTTTAGATTACACAAAATGAAGTGAGAAGAATGCAAACAAAATATTGGCAGGGCTCTCTTCCTCTGATCTCTATGAAGCTGTCTTCCTTCCCCCCTTTGGTATTATACCCACTTGTCATGCTCCACTAATTACTGGCTGATTGGTCTATCATTTTCCTTACTACCTTGGGGCATAAACTCTTTCTCCACAGTCTAATCCACTTAAATTTGGGCCCCTTTTTCAGGGTAGTTTTTTGAAGCCACTTTTTGGGGTTAGTTCTGACACCTTGATGGCTCTTCTTAGCTATTTCATTGGTATTCTCTATGATAAACTAGCTTGCCTACAGGGTGCAAAATCCTCACCAAAATACTAGCAAACTGAAGCTAACACATAAAAAATATGATATTCCATTGCCAAGTGAGATTTAGTCCAGGAACACAAGATTGGTTTAAAATATGGAAATCAATCTATTATCTATACTATACCATATTAAACAGAATAAAGAAAAACCATTTGGTCATCTCAATAAATAAACCATTTGATAAAACACTTAAACTGGGAATAAATGACAATGTCTTTGATCTGTTCCCAATGAAAACATGTCTACCTAAAACTTGCACATCAATATGGCATTAGTCACAATAAACAAAAAGTGAAAACAATGCCTGTGTACCTCAACTGATGAATGGATAGACACAGTGGAATACACTCACACTGAATATTTTCCACTTTCCATACATTTCCTAAAAAAGAATGTAGTACTGATAAATACTACAACATGGAAGAACCTGGAAAGTACTAAGGTCGGACAGAAAAGGCCACAAATTATTTTATTATATGAAATGTCCAGAGTAAGAAAATCCATAGAGACAGCAAGTAGATTTGTGGTTTTCTGGAACTGAGATTTGAGAGAAACGGGGAATGCCTGCTAAAGGATACAGGGTCTCTTTCTTCTGTGAGATCATGAAAATGTTAGAAATTTTATTGTTGTGAAGGTCATAGAATTCTTTGAATATACTAGAAAATACTGAATTGTATCCATTAAAGGGTGACTTGCACGTAGTATGTGAATTATATGTCAATAAAGCTGTTACAATAAAACAAACGTTTAAAATTAGAACACACAATTTTTTTCTTTAGTTCAACATTATGCTTACATTAAGATACAGACATGGATATTTTCCCAAACTATGTCAATAATTTCACTTTTAATTGGCCTTTGTCCACTAGAGAACCTACCATTGTGTGTCCTCTACAAAAACACTTCTATCAGGTAGATGAAATAAACTTTTTGTACAGCAGATCAAAGACCCTTCCAAATTAAAAACCTAGGATCAAATATTCAAATCTGCAAAGATGTTAAAGTGGAATTGCTTCTTTAATTTTTATCAAGGCTTTATATTTGGACAAGATTTTACCCTCCCCCGACTCCCCACCAAAAATGCTGTTCTTGAATTTTTAAAAGATGTGTTGCTCTTTCAAAGTGATGTTTTTCTTTTAAAAGAAAAATCCTTCAAAGAAAGCAAATTTTCTCATTTTGATGAATTTAAAGAATTACATTTGATTGCCTTTTTCCTTTTTGCATTGATTCTTTTTTAAATATGATTCCATAAAGCTAGAAAAATATCTTAATAAGCTAGATTTAGATTATAATGCCTTTAAGGTTCTATATTATATGGATAAAGATTTATTCATCCATCATGACCCAACCTTCTTGACATCCCAGCCAAATAGAGAAGAAAGTAAATGTATATTAATCCAATTTGATGTGTATTTAGAGACACCTACCACTGGCAAACACTTTACAAGGTATTTTGGGAAATTCAAAAACAAAGGACTGGCCCCCACTGGGGGTGAGAACCCCCTGCGAGAGGGCTGAAAGCAGGGCCAGAACACAGGCAAGACTAAGTACTACGGGAAGAAAAACTAAATGAAGGCAAACTCATCAGGAGAATAATTCAAGGACCATGTTCTCCTTATAATTTTATATTTGAAGTTTTTTTCTAACATATTTCTATGTACAGGATAATACAACATTTGGGCTAAATTATAGTTTTACACTTTACTACACACTGTAGTTCTTCCCAGTTGCTTTCTAAACAGTTTCTTCTTTCAAAGACACTCTGTAGAGAGATGGTTTTCTTTGCTCACATGGCTTAGAAGGATTTTTCCTTTCTCATCTTCTTTAGGAACATGAATAAACAGCAACTGTTTTACCAAGCTTTGTTCACACAGGGACAGACCTCTTCAAATAAAATTCTTTGGTATTAAGGCTGCAGCTCCCCCAAAGGAGAAAAGAAGGACACAATTAAGCAAAGCAAGGAGAGGGACGAATTTTAGAATTTTATATTACAGATCTGAGTTTGATACAGTTACACATATTATCAAGTGTATAACCTCAAGCCAAACTCAAAATTCTTTGAACCACAGTCTCCTCGCATGAAAAATGATGATAAAAACACCTACTCATTGTAATCATAGAAGAGAAATTGCATCTAAAGTGCTTATCATATTGTTTGACATGTAATAAACACCCAACAAATGATATGCATTGCTGTTGGTGCTATCATTAATGCCACTCTTGTAATTGCAAAATCATCTCCCCACCAAAAGAAAAAAAAAACAGATCATAGGTCAGGGTGCATAGTAGCCAAATTCCAAGATGACTCTCCAGTGATCCTCACCTAAAAATCAGAGCTGAGCTATGTGAACAGTAAAATATTGTGGAAGTGACAATGTGTGACTTCTGAGTGTAGGTCATAAAAAAATATTGCAGATTCTTCCTTAGGCTCTTAGATTGCTCACTTAGAGAGAAACCAGCCATGCTATTAGGACATTGAAGCAGCCCTGCATGGAGGTCCACATGAGGAAGAACTGAGGCTGCCAATAGCCAGCGTCAACTTGTCAGCCATGTGAGTAACCACTTCATCTCAGAAGTGGGTCCTCATCCTCATTTAAGCCTTCAGAGGATTGTGAACCTAATTAAATCTGACTGCAACCTCATGACAGGCTCCAAGTAAGATCATCTGGCTAAGCTGTTCTCAGATACACGACCCACAGAAAGCATTAGATAATAAATGATTATTGTAGTTTTACGTGGCTAAGCTTTGGGATGATTTATTATTTTGCAGCAAATAACTAATGCTGATTTTGGTATATGGAAGAG